ACAGTGAGAGTTGAGATGCTGTGGGTGTAAGCACTCAACTCTGTACTTTTAACGAATCTTCCACGACTGCTGACCGGTTTATCATCTGCTTTTGGATTTTGCCTGATAGATGGGATATCCCGACGAGTTTGGGTACTATTACCACAGGCAATCTCCATTATGACTTTTGAACAACGACCGGAAAGAACGAGGGTTTCTTTGTTTTTTCAAATAGTGTTCATTATTGTTTTATAGTGCTGATTTTGATCGATTATTGACAATTAATGTGATTGATATAATAGTTTTGAAGCTATACCTCTTATATATGTGAGTGAAAAAGACTTTTTATACTTATATAAACAACAGAGCTGTAAAACCATAGCCCTTTTATTAGCATTAAACCAGAGAGTCATTCTTTTACTTAAATTTCATTCAGTAGGAGTAACAGCTTTTACACAATTTTTGCTGTGGGGCGTCAAATTTACATCTATATTCATTTGTTTGTTTGTTTGAAGTTAAGCACAAAGCTACACATTGGGCTATCTGTGCTCTGCCCACCACTGGTATCGAAACCCGGATTCTGGCGTTGTAAGTCCGCAGAAATACCGCTGTGCTACTGGGGGCATCTATATTCATACTGGTACAGTAATTTATTCCGGGAATAAAACATATTACTTCATAAAACAGTAGGTATAGCGTGTACACACTAAAAGGGGTAAGAATACTCCTTTATAGTCAGACATATTGCGAATACTTTCTGAAATAAATATACTTACACCTTATTTTCTGAGTATATAAGACTTCCTGGTACTTTCATATATCTAATGGCAGCTCTTGTAAGTTACATCTTTATCACTAACAATACCATATGAAAATAACAATAATATCTAACTATACCATCTGACAATAACTCACAATACCGGCTGACAATATTATCCAACAATACCATCTGACAATACTATCTAACAATACCATCTGACAATACTATCTATCGATTCTATCTGACAGTAACTCACAATACCATCTGAAAATACTATCTAACAATACCATGTAACAATAACTCACAATACCATCTGATAATAACTCACAATACCATCTGATAATAACTCACAATACCATCTGACAATAACTCACATTACCATCTGACAATAACTTACAATACCATCTGACTATACTATCTAACAATACCATCTGACAATAACTCACAATACCATCTGACAATGCTATCTAACAATACCATCTGACAATAACTCACAATACCATCTGACAATACTATCTAACAATACCATCTGACAATACTATCT